CGAACGGAACCAGTGTTAAGACATCGTCGGATATCGTTACGGGTGACCTTGCTCGGTTTATATTATTTTTATTGTATTTCCTCGATCTCACCGTCCTTGGCYGGTTCTRCAATTTATATWACATAATGTATAATATACGTGTTATTAATTATTATTGTGTTATAACATGACCGTATAGAAGTTAGCACTGCGACATATTAATACGCGTAACATCTACGGATAATCTGAATGTGGCCACCTCGGCGCACGGCGCAGTAACATCACTGCCCGATTGTATGTAATAATAGCATTAGAAGAATTTATTGCAGACATCGAATTTTTCGATTCCGYCCGTTTATAAGATTCTAACGATCGGGGGGACCCTTTTCCGACGCTTCCCCGCGAGCGTTTTTGTAGTCAAGTGTATAGAAGGGAGGGGAGTACCTATGTGGTATTTTTTTTCCATGGCACGTGGCAAGTAGCTTCGGAATTCCACCGCCGCCGCTGTATTAAAGATGTTTCGCTCAAGGTTGCCGACACGTATACGCGTGTTCCTACACAACCATCATTAGTGTAACACAAACTGATATACATGTACACTGCGTCATAGATTTTCCCGAACCGTCATCGTCATCGTCTTCTTTCGGTTTTTCAACACTAAACGCCATCCCCTATACTGAAATGCAGCACAAAGAATTCTAAAGAAATGGCTGGTTTGAAGGTTTTTACGGATTGCGAGTCGCCAAGGTTATGGAGGTAGATWCTGAGTACTTAAATAATGGCGAAAAAAAGTTTTTGTCCAGTTGATATAGGAAGTAATATAATATAATATGAGAACCCCGTACATTCAAATGGGAAGTTAGCCTCATACACTCACTAAACAAACTATCATTACAGGAGCCCGTCACCCTCGCGCAATACCGGAAAAGCGTTTCAGATATAATAAATATATAATAAATACCTTTGGTGTCTCACTTATGTGTAATGTGTAGAAAATGGCCCTAAGACTTGTTATCGATTCAGTATATTCGTGTGAATGCATGGCCGTCGGTATTATAGTTATATTTWACGATATGAAACTAATGTCCACGTTCGTATTTTTGTGTTAAAGGTTGAGAAATGGTAGCGGACACGGCCAGCAGTTATCATCATCAACAGAAAACTCAGCAGCAGCAGTCGCAGCAACTAAACCAGCACCAACAACAGAAAGTCCACCAGCAACAGCAGCAGCAACTTCATCAGCAACAGCAGCAGCAACTTCACCAAATCCATCTGCAACGCCAACAACAACAACAGCATCAAAACAGTGGCGGAAACATGCCACAGTATTGTAGCGATATGGAACAATCAGGCGGCCCTGGGAGCATGAGGTACGACGATTCTGTATCACCAGGACCAGAATCGCCAGGACCCGGCGAAYCGTACCCACCCGGGTTTGACTTGACGGCGCATCTGCAGCACAAGGAGTTCTTTGCGCAGCGCAAGCAGCGTGAATTTATACCGGATAACAAAAAAGATGAAAGCTATTGGGACAGGAGGCGACGAAACAACGAGGCAGCCAAACGATCCCGCGAAAAGAGGAGGTTCAACGACATGATCCTCGAACAGCGGGTGGTTGAACTCAGCAAGGAGAACCACGTACTCAAGGCCCAACTCTCAGCTATCAAGGATAAGTTCGGCATCAGTGGCGAGGCTGTGGTTAGCGTTGAACAGGTAATAATTCAAACATAATCACAAGGGTTTATATCAATAGGATTCTAGGTTAAGTCCTTTTCGTTAATCAAAATCGTTTTATGAAGGGTTTATGCACACTAACCGCATTAAATAGTAGTTATTTTGTGAATAATAATACATAATAATATTATGTTATACGTACGAGTTCATTAAGATGGCGCAAGAAAACTGTGTTGAACAGTAAGTTCATTGTTTACAATGTATAGCGATGTGTTTGCATTGTTCTTTCTATCGTGTTCGTCTTACTGCATTTTTCGAAAAACCATATTACCCAACACCTGTGTTTCACACTGAATGAGTAATTAACTGTTTGCATTAAAAAAAAATGTATACAATAATTTATGAAAAACACGCACAATTAAGAATATGCCAAATGATTACAAAAAATKACCCATAATTATTCGATCTTAATATAGATTTCAACCCCTCTCCCCCCGCCAAAAAAAAAAACAAACCACTACCTACGAATAGAAATAGACCAAAATGATTTTATGTATTAACAGTGGTTTTTCTTTTTCCCGCACTTATAGGTTATGGCTTCTTTACCTACAAACGAACAAGTGTTGAGCATCACGAAACGCCCAAAACTTTCCACGTCGTCTTCGTCTTCGTCGATAGGTTACTCGCAGAACGGATCCGGTCCTATACCCACGTCGGTCATCCACCAGCCCGTCCAGTCTACCACGCCCAAAATGAACGGCTCGTACTATGGTGGCGCACAGTCCGATTGCGACAGCYCTGTCGACCAACACCAACAACAGCAGCAACAACAACACCAGCAGCAGCAGGGCGACCGTTCGAACGGCGTCAATGGCCTGCCGATGTCCGTGGCCGCCGCAGCTGTGGCCGCCGCGGCACAAGCCGGGTACCCGCCGTACCCGTTTGCACCGGTTCTGCCCCCACTGCAGCCGCCGTCGTTCGAATCGGCCGCCAACAGCGTACTGAACCTCAGCCGCCGGCCACCGTCACCATACGAGCTGAGCAGTGGCAGTGGTGACGACACGTCGTCGTCTTGCGTGCCCATA